CTGTTGACCTTTAACAAATATAATTTTTCATGTGTCTAAGGTGAGGACCATAGCGCGTGCAAATATAGCGCCACTCTATATATATATATATATATATATATTGTAAGAAAATAAAGTAAAGAAAAGAAAAATAGAAACTAAAACTAACAAGCAATGAAGGAGAGAAGGAAATTCAAAGCTGAAAGGAAGATCACGGCTGGTTTCATGCCTGAAGTTGTCGAGCAAATCAATCCATCAAATTTTTTTTCACCGTGGGTGAAGTTCGACGTATTCTTTCTCAAATTGAACTAACTGAGAAAGTCCGTGATCTTGGTTTTATTCTAGATAAAAATCTAACACTGACATACCACGTTAATGTCACAAGCAGGAAAGCAACTAATGGCATCAGATCCATAGGGCGCATAAGTTAATACCTCACTAATGAAAACCTTAAACTATTAGTGAATGCTCTTGTAATATCACGACTAGACTACTGTAACAGTATCCTCTATGGTTTACCGAAACGGGAACTCGACAAACTCCAGAGAGTTCAAAACACTGCAGCACGTCTTATTATCGGATCTAAACAATATGATCACATCAAACCTGCTCTTCAAAAACTACATTGGCTGTCAGTTGAATCACGTATAATGTTTAAAGTTATTCTTATCACTTTTAAGATTCTTCATGTACTTTCTCCGGTCTATTTGTCGTCCCTGTTACAAGAATATCATCCACAACGTACTCTACGTTCATCTTCCATTTCAACTTTGTTGATATATTCAAATTATATGAGCTAAGAGCTTGTTCACTGCGGCGCTTTTACAAATCCCCTTTAATATATTTGCTAGTACCTTATTGTTCTTAAAACCCCGTTAACGCGTTTTCTGTCCGCCTACACACACATACACACACCCACGCACACCCACACACGCACACACACACGTAGCGTAGCAAGCAGACAAAAGATCGGTAATTCGGTCGAACTGAACCGCCTTTTCTCTTGTCTAATACTGCATATGCGGTGTGATTTTATGTCTAACAACTATCCTTGATTATCCGATCGCTAAAACTCACAAGTTTTCATTTGTAGAAAGATTTTCCCCTATTGCTTAGCACTTCGTGCACTTTTATGATTTCCTTTCATTGAATTGTTATGTTGGTATCTCGAACATATTTAGCTTTCTCTTTCATTGGATTGGTAAATTAGTATCTCGAGCACTTTTTGGATTTTCTTCATTCCATTGTTACGTTAGAATCTCATTCTACACTTTCAGGATTCCCTTTCACTAAGTTATGACATTAATATCTCGCACACGTTCAGGATTCTCTTTCATTGCATTGGTAATTAAGCGACACGAGTACCTCGCACACACCACCAACCCTCTCTGAAAGGCGTCAGGTCATTACGTCAAAGTTCTTCGAACGGATCGCCACCGATAAGAATCATAGACTCCACCCTCTTCTCCCAGAAGAGAAAGCTTTGAACTATAATCTTAGGAGAAGTTCGAAGTTTGTACTACCCAAATGTAAAACGAGGCGTTGTCAATCCACTTTTATTAGCATCTGCTAGACTCTCTTTCTTTAGATTAATACGTTTAAATTTAGTATCTTATACACTTTAGCACCTCGCGCACTTTTAGGTCTCTCTTTTACTGGATTGTTGCACTGGCACCTCACGCACTTTTATGTCTCTCTTGTACTGGATTGTTACATTGGCATCTCACGCACTTTTAGGTCTCTCTTGTACTGGATTGTTAAACTGGCATCTCACGCGCTTTTAGGTCTCTCTTTTACTGGATTGTTACACTGGCACCTCACGCACTTTTATGTCTCTCTTGTACTGGATTGTTACACTGGCTTCTCACGCACTTTTAGGTCTCTCTTGTACTAGATTGTTACACTGGCATCTCACGCGCTTTTAGGTCTCTCTTTTACTGGATTGTTAGACTGGCATTTCATGCGCTTTTAGGTGTCTCTTTTTCTAGATTGTTACACTGGCACCTCACGCACTTTTAAGTCTCTCTTTTACTTGATTATTACATTGGCATCTCAAACGCTTTTAGGTGTCTCTTTCACTGAATTGTTACCCTGGCATCTCAAGCGCTTTTAGGTTTCTCTTTTACTGGATAGTTACACTGGCACCTCACGCACTTTTGGGTCTCTCTTGTACTCGATTGTTACACTGGCATCTCAAACGCTTTTAGGTGTCTCTTTTACTGAATTGTTACATTGGCATCTCCAGCGCTTTTAGGTTTCTTTTTTACTGGATTTTTACACTTGCATCTCACGCACTTTTAGGTCTCTCTTTTACTGGATTGTTGCACTGGCACCTCACACACTTTTAGGTCTCTCTTTTACTGGATTGTTACACTAGCACCTCACGCCCTTTTAGGTCTCTCTTTTATTGGATTGTTACGCTGGCATCTCACACTTTTAGGTCTCTCTTTTACTGGATTGTTACACTGGCATCTCACGCGCTTTTAGGTTGATCTTCCAAAGCCGAGTTTTTCACTTTGGTATCTCATGCACTTTTAAGGTTGTCCTTCTATGGATTGTTTCGTTAGTATCTCGTTTACTTTTAGGACTCTTTTCATAGGATTTGTTACATTAGAATCTCGCGCACTTTTGATATTTTCTTTCATTCGATTGTTATGTTAAGTATTTCACACACTCTTAGGGTTCTCCTTCTTTAATTTAGTATATAATGCTTTTTTAGAATTGTTCCTTGGGAGGATGAGGATATTTTTTGATTCGATGGTTATGTTAGTATCTCGTGCAGCTTTAGGATTCCAACTGTTGGGCGGTCATTCTGGGTTCGAAGAGTGTCGACAGAAATCAATGATTTATTGGTTTTGTTGGTATTGTTGGATTCGGAGTGACGGCTTGGCAGTGTCTGGAATATATATAGAATTAATATTTAAAAGAAGTTGTATATATATATTTTTTGTTTAACGTGTGATAGGCAGAAAAAAATCAGTCAACTAAATTTCATCCATACAGACCTGTTTCGTGGTTGCCCACTCATCAGGGGATTTTTAAACGAAACGGGTCTGTAGGGATGAAAAGTAGTTGATTGATTTTTTTCTGCCTATCACACATTATACTCGCTCTACTATATGTATCGAGCACTGTTTTACAGATATCAAGTTTAACCCTTCTATATTTGTTGTTTATATTTTTAGTTGATAACACGACCCCACAAGCCTCTGGCTTTAAGTATCTATCGTGTCTGAAATAAAGTTTTACAGTTTATAATTTACTCATTCCCAGTTGGTCTTTGGCGTTTTATTTTTTATTATTTTAAACATAGATCAAAGATAAAAACGTCATTCATCTCGAGGGAATCATTAATATGCTGGGGAAAACTTCTTATGAGGAGTTTTTTCGATAAAAACTAAAGAGAGCACGAGAGAAGCAATAGAGTTGCTAAAGGTGCAGCGGAAAGCAACTCTTGCAGTGCTCTCCAAACTTGTAGTAGCAGAACCCCTAGTGGAAAGGACAAGGTAATGCGCATGCGCGCGTGCGTGTGAAACTAGGAAATCGTAGGCGATTGCGCTACTAACATATAAGCAGCCTGATGAAGTGCACGTACTCGAATGCAGTGTCCCAGTGTGGCGTACTGCAGACACAGAGTAAGATATGACACAAGGGCTACGTTTTAAGCTAGTTTATGAAAAACCCACGCAGGCAGAGGATTTGCCACCGGCTAATTCTAAAACTGACCCCAAAATGAAACAAAGGCCTCAATTAAATGACATTCGGTTCTAAATGGGATAAACTGTATGATGTGACAATAGTATTTCACGCTATCAGTCACGTCATTCATGACATTCGTCCCAATCAGCTAACCTAAAAGCCGTGTTCTCCGTTACATTGGCTGTGAACTGATTCGTTGCGTTAGCAGAATTTCTTGAGGGAGACTATACAGCCCAAATAAATGGTTAGCACTTTGGACTCCATACACTAGTGACTCTGGTTCGGTTACACCTTTCAAGTGCCACGCAAGCTTAGAACCTACAGCTGGGAGAAGACTTTGTTCAAAATGCTGAGGAAGTGGCGCTTGGGTTGACCTGAGGTGTAACGTATCCATTAATTTTCGTGCGACTCACCCCCGTCCACGTCGATATTTGTCCTCTGATTATTTCCGTCGAAAAGAAACAAGAAGGAAAAATAAAGCAGCTCAAGAGTTTTTCATTTTTATCTTTATTTCTTTACATGGAAGGAAAATGAACTCGCTTTTTTAAATACAACGGTAGTGATATGAAAAACATGATCTCAAATGCTGTCCAAATGCTATCAAGAAGTACTTTTAACGCTCATACTGAACCTGTAATCAAGAAGTTGAAAATTTTTGATCTATAAAATATGTATCGATTTCACAAAGGAAATACCCTAAAGAGCTAGTGAGAACTCAAAGTAAAACTGACCAAACTGCCCAAAGCGCGGGAAAAAGCGGCCGACCAACTGGTGATTGGTTTCAGTTTTGCATCTGATTGGTTGAGAGTGGACTGGACTAATCTCAGTGCGAAGTAAATTAAAACAAAGCAATTCTGTATTATTTTCGACACTTAATTGAAAATTTTTATAACAGATAACGCTCCTGATCAGTCAAAGCCTTTTAATCATGCATACCAGCAATGGAACAGAAAGGTTATCAACATAATACAGCCATTAATATGAATTATCCGTTAAACAAATTTTTTCATTCCTCTTACAAGTATCACAACATACCAAGCGAGTGAATAGCGCTTGTATAAGCCGATTGGTTTGTTCAGATGTGATTACACAAGTACTATAAGCTAATCATCCCTTCCATCGTCGTAATATGAGGCAAAAACTCAACCGTGGAGCGCAATAATAATTGAACATATCATGCTTTGAGAGATTTTTAGAAGAACGCGAAAATCACCAGTGGTAGGAATAATACCCCGGCAGTGAAACGAAACATCCTCAAGTTCCACTTTTTTTACACAAAGCAAGGAGAGAACTTTCATCATAAGAACTCAAATTTTCTGCCTATGACAATTTTTTGACACTGTTTTGTCAAAAATAAGGCGACTTTTTGGTCCGCTACAATATTGGTTCACCTTTGAGTCGGTGAACTGGTGGAAAGTTTTTTCTCTCTTAAGGGAATATTTGTCGTGCTCTAATGCAAAATTAATTGCCAAAATCTAGCTTTTGATTTTGGAAATGACGCATAAAATGTGTTTTTTCACCATGGCTCAGATTCCTGACACTGCCCATAAATCCGCGTGGTTTTGAAACTCAGGCTGAAGATGATTTCAACAAGATATTGGCATTTGGCTATAAAACACAGGACTTAATAGAGGTGCAGACACAAACTAATAGAATCATGATTGATCTTGATGATATTTTTGGAGATGATAATATCATGTTGTAAATGAACTTAATTGATATGATGCAAAGTGGACATCTGCGTCATAAGAATCGATGGTAATGATACGATAGGCGCCTGGGTTCCAGTTTATTTCATTTGTTGTCTGCCCTTTTTTCACTTTCTTCTCGCCGTTACTTAATTATGTTAGTCTACTCAAACATGGATTCAATGACGCCCTCTCGAAAAATCCTCTCTGAGGCGTACTCCTTGACCTTTATCCAAATGCGATCCGGATTTTCGGATTTTCCGCAAAATTTCTCATAATACAATTTATGAATGTCTTCTGCCGCGCCAAAAATATCCGTGTGCACAATTGTTAAGATCCAGTGCATTCTATTAGGAGCAAATTCTTGTATTACAGATCCGTAGTCCTCCAGAAAAGCAGCTCGGAAAGTTCTCCACGAGACTGAATTTTCACCGTCGAAGTGCCGCAACCAGAAATCAGCAGAATTCATAGGCGACGGCCGAGAACATGATCGCTCTCTCTTTCGTAGTGTTAAGCTTTCCATGGACATAGCTTTAAAAGATTTGTCATGTGATGCCGGCTTTCCTTCTGTAGGAATATCATTTTTACCAGTACAAATTTCTGTGCCTTCATCGAGTGACTTTGCGTTGACCAAATATTTCGCTTTTCGCGACTCGCTTTCGAGTTGCTTTCTTCTCTGGCGTCCTCTCTTTGACCAAAAGGTTGCCTCTGTGAAAAAGAACAAACAAAACACAAAATCGACTCTGGACTCAGTCATTTCCCACTGGTTTAAAGTAAATGGCATCTTTTTAAAAGCATGAATCTGGAAACTTTACCATATTACGTTCCAGTATTTCGTGTACTCGTCTTACCGCCAGCTTGCAAAACTTCGATTTGAGACATGTTGTTAGAAAACATGGCAGAATTCAGAAACAAATATGTGCTTTAACCTTACTACGTCTAACCACACAAAACAAATTCAATTTACACTTCGTTACCAGCTTACTAAATTGAGAACAACGTGGACAAATCAGTTTGTAGTTTATTCTGGAATTTGTAGTGTAAATAAGTATATGTATTGGACAAGTCAATCTATATTCTGTTTTTACTGGGTACTTCATTATCGAGCCTTCTACAGAATACTAAGAAATTCCGAATAATATGCAATGCCAAAATCAAAGTCATCAGCTTTTTTAACATATAAACAAATCCAAAACCAAAAAAAGTGAAACGAAAACTGATAAGCGTAAAAACGTTCCTTCTGACATTTAGGACCATTTATGTACATGGTGAAGTGTGCTTACCTAATGGAGAATCACAACAAGGTAGACGCATTAATGGGAAGAAAATCGTGTTCTGTTTTAAATTAAACCTCCGTTTGCTCCATTAACTTTCGATCCGGAATTGAACCAAAGTATTTTGCATTGCTTGTTACCAAATCTGAAATACTGAATACGTTTGCTGTTGTATTCTCAATCAGAGAGAACGTTTTCGAACAAATAACCACTTGAGTTACCCCCACAGCATCCTCGTTCTCGGTACCTAATCACAACTACAGAAAAAGGCTCAAGCATCAAATTCAATTTTCGCCTCCTTGATTTTCGTGATTGATGACCACTCATGAAATTTTGTATATGTAAATGTAGAAAAATTAATTAAAAAATCACCCCAGCATACGAAACGTCGGTTTTGAAATTACTAAGGCCCCCTTTTTTAAATTTGTCATACTAAATTATCTCATATCTAATTTTGAGCAACTGAGAAAATAACAGTTATAAAAAATTACTAATATGATGTGTCTAAAATACTGCTCTGATGCAAAACTAATAATAATAATAATGATAATAATAATAATAATGATAATGATAAAAACCGCATTTTCGTGCTTATGTAAACCCGATGTGGCGATCCAGGACAACGTTCTCGGTGCCACACGTATATAGTTTAAAGAAAATAATGGTAAGATCTGACAACTTTATCAATTTTTTTTATTGCAAACACACCACGAAATTGTATGCAAGGATAAATTCGGCTGAAAGCTGATTGCGGAAAGGAAAAATATAGAATTAAAAACACGACAACTTACGAAATACACCGACCGACGTCATCGATTACTTAATAACAAAAACATTATTGCAAAAACAAAACAAAGCAAAACAAATGAAAAAAACCTTAACATCAAACTGAAGATTATTATATTTTTCATTTCCTTAAGTTTCGCAATCGTATTGAGAATCAGATCACGTAATCATGCAGTCAAAACGTTCAACGGTCAAAAATAAACATAGGCATGCAGTGTGTAAGTACAGAGTATGAGCTACTTTGAATGCATGTGTTCCTTGGATTGTCGAGGGAACTATTTTGATAACCAATCGCCAGACGTTTCATCACCAAATAAACAGTTTAAATGAAAGATGTGTTAACTAAAAAAGCTAACCTTTAAGAAACAGATGGATATCGCTATTAGCTACCACTTTGTCACTGAATACTAAATTATTATTCTGAAATTTCTTTGAGAAAAGTTTTATTAGCCAAGAACATTTTAAGTCCCGTACAGGTACGAAAAGTTTACAGTGAACAGTCTTTTTGTTCGATAGGAAACACAGGTTTTTAATTTGTATAAAAAAATATGAAAAAATTAATAAAACACTAAAATTCACTTACATAAATATAAAAGAAGCAGTATAATTATATAAAATTTGATGCATGATCGCGGAAAAATTTATAACTTCTATAATAACTTTTCATCAAATGGTAACGATTATTAATATTTACTTCCAGGCAAAAACTTTTGAAGATTGAATATGCCAAAAGCAACCAGAAATACTAAAAAATAAATTTCGCTCGGACAGGCCGTTGCTGAAATGATTGAAGAGTTTTTCAGGTTTGTTGTTATAACAAGAAAAATAAAAAATAATCATACCTTGCATGAGCATGACTGATTGATTAAAAACGATACGGAAGGTGGAAATCACAAAATAACAGACATGCGTCATTTGAGGTAAAGTCTACCTGAAAATGGCAAACCTAACTTATCAACTAAAAGAACCTTATTATATATAATTTTTGGAAAATAATTTGGACGATGAACATCATAGTTTAACAGACATGCGTCATTAGAAGAACTTGACGTACAGTCTACCTAAAATAGACACGCGTAATGAACCAACCAAAAAAATTAAATTCTTTTGATTGCTCAGTGAAAAGCGATATGGAGGATAAACGTCATAAAATAGTAGACATGCAACATTTAAATAAAAGTCTGCTTAAAGCTGAGAAACATAACGTACTTATTCTAACACTGAAATAAAAAAAATAAACGTTTGAAAATGGGGGAATCTACATCGTTACAATAATTTGCTTGCGAAATATGGTGCCGTCATAGAAAGTACAAATAAGCTAGGATGGAATTCAACCATGAGATATTTTCTCGATCAAGCTCCTTTTCGCTTCCATTGAAACACAGTTTTATATCAGTACAATACATCAACCTTGTGCATGCGGAAAGATTTAAAAATATTTCGAGTCTTCTATCCTACGCCCGACCAAAGAAATCCACGCATTCAGAATGAGTGATTCAAACGTACAGTAATAAGATTGCTGCAATCGCAGTTAAATGATGAACGCTACAGAACATTTCTGCATCGTTGCTGATGTGATTTGATTATAGACAATGATATCATAATTCTGTGTGTTTCCAGATGGAATTAAAGCTCGGCTCATCCCGACTAAAGGCGAAAGTTGCTCGCGTTTTTAATGCAAAGTTCAATCTAGGAAACGATGTTAGATGAAATGCGTAAGGCACGAAACCTTTAATTTTGTCAGTTAGAAACACGAGTGACTGTTTATTTAGAGAAAAGTTTGTTTTTCTTTTTCATGCAAAGATGAAGGTTTGGGTATATATGTCAACGATAAGGTATGAAACAGAAATTATGAAGTTTTGGTTTCTTTATGAGTTACACTATATTAGAGCAAAAACTATTGTTATCAGTTAATCCTTTTGTTACATTTTTAGTGAGATTTCAGAATACGAAGCGAGATTTTAAACGTTTTCCCATAATCAGCTAAATAAAACCCAGCTGGATATGTATTTGGTTCCCCTAACAGAAAAAAAGCCAATATACGAAAAATATAGTTTTGGAATAAAATGTTGTAACAAACGTCTGTTTGATACCATAAACATCGGTCACTAGAAAAAAATCGAAAAACAAACATGAAAAAAACTGAAAATAAATAGTCGAAAATGGAACAGTTCAAACCTTTGTCCACCTCCGTTCCACTCATATCGACAGAGCGATGTCCTCGGCGAAAGAAACGAAAAACTTTGAGCATTTTATAAACGTAGCTTGCCTCTCGCTTCATAACTTAAACGATCACTATTTAAATTTTTCATCGAGGATTCCGAAGAATAACGCTTCAACGTAAGCTGACAGTATAAACGAAAATCAAATATACCATAATTATATACAGGAACAACCACACAGGCAGCAATTTCAATATTACTTACTAATTAAAAAACAGGCTTTTGTCTTTTAAATTTCAACTGTCAAATTAGAAACTCGCTTTGTCCATAAAGGAAATCTCTTAATATCAAAGATATTTGCAGATGTGAAACTGTTCTTATCAAAAAAATTTGAGCGTCATTTCGAACAAATAGCAGCGTTGTGCAAGTTTTTGACAAAATGATGTTGAAAAAAAAGGATTTAGGAAAAATCAGCGATACATTCAGCAAAAGTAACCATTAAGAATGTAAAAATTGAACAGGTGAACTGAATTAGTCACTGGTGGATGTTGATTGTCACTGCTATTTAAAGTTTACCAGTAATTTCAACTTAATCATGATCTTGATGTATATGCTTTGGTTTTTTTCATATCAGATTAAGAGATATATTTAGATTGTTTGGTAAAATTACGATTCAAAGTTGATTTTCCCATCTGGAAACTCGATTTTTAAAAATTGTTTATTTCATCTTTACAAAATCGATAAGGACTCCTTTAGACGGTCTAAGTTATTATATGTTGTTTGTTGGGGAAATAAACAAGACTTCATTAAGCCTTTAAAATCAAAATGAGGATGAAACTTGTCAATGATAAAGCTTAGTAGCTTTTGATGGCAAATTTCCAATTGATTCCTCTTAGAATCCTTTAAATCGGTTAACAGTTTCTTATTATTTCTGTTCGTGTTTGGGTGCAGACCTACCCACTGAAGTAAAGCACTTTTTTTCTTTGCCGAAATTGTACACTGGTTATTTTCGGAAATTTCCTGTTTACCTATTCAATTATCATTTGAAATTTCGCCTCCAAAGGATACTTTTTTAAGCTTGATTTTCCCTTTTCTGCCGACAAGTCTTATTTAGAGACGGATCTGTAAACACCTCCATAAAATCCACTTTAGGTGAAACAATTCAAAGAAAACTAAGGGAAGAAATGTAGTGATAGACGAGTGCTGTTTGGCAATCATATTATTGCGCCAATTTTCATGAAAATCTGCTTTAGTCATGGCCAGCTCGTTACCAGCAGACGAGTTAGCTTTCTCTGTTAAACCTGAGACACCTCTGTGAACAGTTACATCTCTGAAAACGATCATAGCGCTTAGTTGCCACCACTCCCTTAGCAGACAACAAGGGAAGAGAAAACACCAAGGAAATAGGCTGGATTGTAGCGTAAAAGCAAAGACTGACCCTCTACTTCTTTCTTCAAAAACAGTTCTGATATAAGTGAAAATAGGGGGACAGAGCGTAAAGCCCCTGATCCAAACCTCAAGATATGTCAACTCACTTCAGTTATTTCTTAGATTATCTTGTTATACTCCCCAAAGACGCAGCACCACATTTTCTTTAGAAACTTAACCCCTTTATCCAGTCATTTTTTAGATAGTCTTTCGAACAGAAACTTCAATATCTTATCAGTCACGTCGTTGAATAAATTCACGGTCAATGCCTAACGGAGGACACGGCTTTTTGGTTGTCTGATTGACGTTTGTTAGAGTGTGAAATACTGTTGTCACATTATGCATTTTATCCTATTTAGAGCCAAGTGTTATTTCATTGACGCCTTTATTTCATTTTAGGGTCAGTTTTACTTTTGGCAAGTTGCAAATCCTCTGCCTGCGCGGGCTTTATATCAATTAGCCCAAGTCGGAAGCCCTCGTGATATTCCTTAGTTTTTGCCTGTGGTACGCTGTACTAAGACACCGCATTCGTGTATGTGCACTTCATCACGCTGCTCATGTGCTATTTACGCAATCGCGTACGGTTCCCCTACTACAAATATAATGTTAACTAAGATTTTTCGCGCATGCTAAAAGCAGCACCCTGTGCGGACGGACGGTCCTACGGTTCACTGATGAACTAAATCTTTCTCGTTTTGATGGGCTATTGTTAGTACGTATATAAACAATTTTAATAAGTATGGGGCTTTGCTGTGTACGTGAGCTCCGCTATGATTAGGAGTGATAAGTAGAATTATTATATACATACCGAGATTTACGCGCCAAAAAGCATCGAGATAAAAATAGTCTCTTAACGCTTGAGGAGCCAGCCGATTGGTCATACGATTTTCTTTCACTAGTGAAAAACGACGTATCGACGCTCTGATTGGCTATATTATTACTTTCACTAGTGAACAAAACCGTGTCGCTCGCTCGCCGCTCCTCTTGACTGACAAATAGCACATTTCTAAGAGCTTAGCCGCATTTTTCTTTAGAAAGATGGCTTCAAATCAGACTAACCGTTTTCAGAGCCTAGATTCATCAGTAGAAGAGTTCATAGACGGACAGGAAAATGAAAACACCAAGGAAAAGACCAAACACGATGTCGCTCTGTTCCACTAATTTCTTGTTCTGAAAGGCGAAACAAAAAACAAAAAAATTAAGTCTCGGGTTTTCACTTCTTTATTTCAAATTTTGAACTTCCATAGAACTATTTCGACATATTTTCAGGATGTCTTAATTCATTGTACCTAGTTCTGTCTTTTAACGGCATTTTCGCTTGATAATTTAGGTGTAAAGAAGTATTTTACAAGGAACTCCCGAACGGCGAAGTATTTTATTTGCAACTCCCGAACGGCGGCTTGACCGCGCGTTGCTTTCCTTTGAAAGAAAGTAAAGATATATTTATCTCTGAGTTCTGTTCGCTTATGAATCTCGGTATGTATATAATAAATAAGTTATTTCACGGTTAGTTCGCTTGTACGATTTTTATTCACTCGTTGTGAATAAAAATCGTACGCACTCACCAACCGTGAAATAACCTATTAATATACTGATTGGCGAGTTTAAAAGGAGTGTGTATTATATGCGAGCCAGCGAGCCAGCGAGCCAGCGAGTCATGCGAGTCAACATGCGAGTCAACAAGCGAGCCATGCGAGTCAGCATAAAATAACTTTGTTTTTAACGAAAACTACCAAAAAACTAGCCTCTGTAACTAAGTAACGTATTCATTCCAAAGGCACGTTCTTTAAAATTCAGATTCAGAAAAACATACAAATTGAACGAGGTGAAACAATAACAATAACAAAGGTTCTAACAAAGGTTTTAAAGGTTCTTCCTCTGTCACGTTTAATGAGTCACACCATATTTGGTAAGTCACGTGACCAGAACACAAAAAAAAAACACTCTTTAAAACCCAAACGTCTTGCATCTTTCACAATAAAACCAGTGCCAATGGCTTAAGAATATCGCAATAAAAAATCTTACCAACAAGTTTAACGTTCCTTCTCAAACTTCAGATTTATCGAAAAAGCTATGACGTCATTGAGGGGTATTTTCATACATTTTATTTAACAGACTTTCTTGCTTTCGTCTGAACGCTAATTTCATGCTACAGATGTTAAAAGTTAAATTGCTTATGATTCCCCCAAAAAATGGATTCTCTTTCTCTTTGAACTTGAGCGCTTTTTCATTTCTAAAGCGGGATTGGAGACTGGCACTAGTTGCGCATGTTTAATGTCCATTTAGTGCTGTCTTATGTTCAGTTTCACGGTTCCCACCATTTTAGCGGTTTAAGACACGTGCGAAATAATAAGCACGAAATAATGTCCCTAGCAACGACTCGTAAACTGTAGTTAAGTTTCACCCCCTTACAGTGGCTCTAAATAGCTTTTATTTTTATATTTCTTTTTTTTTTTGGGGGGGGGGGGTGGACGCACGCAGACTGGGTTTATGCATGTTGACTTCGCTCTATCCAAAGTGTGTTTTACCGAATATATGCATTTGGACACTGACTTAGACTATGAACTGTAACAGACGATATCTCAAGAAGTAAAAGTGGTATTAAATCAAAGTATTCCAACGCTAAGTCTCTGTTCTTACGTTAAATCTGGATCGAAATGCAATATCATTTGAGAAGGATGAAAAAGGAATAATACATGAATTTCTTGGTATTGTTGTTATGCAGGGCATACTGGGACAAAAGAAAAATGTACGCAAAATCCATGTACGATGGATGGTCCGGTATGCACCTTCAGTGCTAGCCTGTAGATCACCTGGTGTTATTGTTTTTTTGCATATATAGCGTTCCTTCCGCATGCCAGAGATGTACATAAGGCAGAGTCTTTAGCCAGTGTTACATCCTCCAGGTAACCCATTGTGTCGAGAATTTTAAATTTGAATAGGTTCATTGTGCTGTTACATTCCAAGATATCCATTGTAACCCTATCAACTTTCCTTGCAAAGTATCCAAGGTCCTTCTTATGCGGAACAGCTTCTGTGTCGCTTGTTTTTTTAGTTTTTGGTTTTCTTTTGGTTCGGTCCGATCTGTGGCTGTCCTTGGTGTTAACTCTATAGTCCTTTTGAGCAGTTTCCACATCAGTTGAAAAATCTACCTTCCCAGTCAAGGACTCTGCATTTTCTGCTATATACTGAACAGCAGAAGCGCATGCATCTCGACCTGCAAGGAGTTCATGTTGCTCTTTTTCTTCCTGATCAGCTGCAGTGGGACCATCCCCGACTGTTCTTTGACCAAGAACTTGGCGCTTCATTTCAGCAGCTTCAAGAATTGCAGCTGAACATTCTGTGCTTACTACATCTAACAGTCTTTTTCTGTAGCCTGAAGCACTGATAGATTTTGCATTTGACACTTCAGCAGAAGATGCTGAACTACTGCTGAAGATGTTACACTACGGCTGTCAACGAGATCTTCGTCTCCACCACCATGCTGTGAAGTGTTTCATTTTCTGCGTATTAGTTTACCGCTTGCTTATTAGGTTTTCCAGGGCTGTTTTCGCTTCATCGGCTTGGATGGAAGTAGGTTCATTATATGCATCAATCATTATCTGTTCAAAGTGTTTTTTGTCTTTGTCGGTTTTGAAGTATTTGAAGTGTCGACGGATATCTTGTTTGACATGGAAAAAATCTGACACTGTTTTGTTTTTGATATCGTCACCTTTGGCCTTACAAAGACCACTCCACAAGGCACCACCTTCGTCCCAAACATAGGCATG